TTAAAACCTTGAACACTAGAAAATATACTGTTCCTTGGAAACTTTGGCTTCTTGTCATCTCATACCTGAAGATGTTAACCTCATGGCATTTCCCATGTTCAGACACTAGAAACCTACCTGAAGTATTGACTGCAAAGCTGAAGTCATGCAGACTTCCTCACATGTGATATTTCAGGGACTTTGGCACAAATAAAGCATCTTATTAATGAAAGAGCCCAGAGATTGTACAACGGTTGCTCCTAATAGAACACCTGAGCCACTGAGGCAGGGATGAATGAACACCAAGTCTTAAGGGCATGCTCAGTGGTGGCTACCAGAACATATGTTTTATGAGTAGCCAGAGGATAGCCAGACTCCAGGGTCATCTTTCTGGAAAGAAGCAGGAAGCACTTGGGGCTGGTGATCGTCTTCTCAGATGACTTTCGTCATGGGGGAGCCTAGCTGTAGAACCAGGAGCCATGCCCTCCAATCTGGACTTCACTGGGGACTGACTGTATGACCTTACGCTTTTGAACCTAGATTTTTCTTATCTGAAAACTGGGAATAATAATAGAGTTTTATTCCTGCCTCCTCTCCCTAGGTTTCCAATCTGCTCACGTCCTTCTTCTATAGCACATTCTTTATTCTGCCTTGTGTTTTGGGGAATAGCCTTGGTAACTTTTCAAGGGCTGGAATTCAGCCCTCACTGTCCCTGTAGCCCTCCAAGCCAGTCACAGCACCTGCATGCAATGAGTTTGTCCGCTGGGGCCCAAGCAGAAGGCAGAAAGCACAGTTATTTGAACAGGAGGAACGTAATATCAGGAGTTATTAATATCTGGTAGAAGCAACTACCAAGATGGGACAAGAACATAAAGGTTACTCTAGAGCTGAGAAAGAAATACCCAAGGAAGGACAAATTTTGAAAGGGCCTCTCTCCATGGCTAAGGTGCCAGATGCTGACACCCCTGGAAAAGGTGTGGCTGTCAACCCCAAGATGGCAGAGGAGTTCCCCAGCTGGGTGCCAGGCACTGAACAACAGAACGTCTTCTGGGACACAGGCAAGGTGAGGGTAGAGGCTAGGTGTGCCAAGGGAGTTGGCACACACTACCAATGCAAGGCTGAAATGCACACAGTGCCTGCATCAGGAGGGCCAGAGCAAAGTGGTTCCTGGGCCCACTGCCAGGGCTGCAAGGTCATTGAGTAACTGCCCTCCAGGCACACAGCAAGGCAGAACAACATCTCTTCCCATAGGCTGTACATACGCCCTCCAGGAGCCAAGCCCAAAGAGGCTAACCTTTTCCCCAATAATGTCCCCACATTGCCCTCTATTGACAGTGCTTTAGTAGTACATGCTCTAGAGGGGAATGCTCACAGGGTCCTATCCTTAGAACCTGAGAAGCAATAATGTGATCTGTCAGTGATTTTCTCTTAAGTTCTATTTGCAGTCCGGGAAATGGTTCAGTCAATAAAGTACTTGCCACACAAGCAAGAGGACTGGAGTTTACATCCCCCGGCACCCCCATAAAAGCCAGGTGTGATGGCACCCATGTGTAATCCCAGCATTTGGGTGGGGGTGGCAGAGATAGGAGGATCCCTGGAGCTCACTGGCCAGCCAAAAGCCAAATGGATGAGATCCAGGTTCAATGAGAGACCCTGCCTCAGAAGATGAGGTTGAAGGGCTGAGGAGATAGCTCAGCAGGTAAAAGCACCTGCTACGTAAGAATGAGAACCTGGGTTAAACCCCAGCACCTAAGTCATTAGGCAAGCATGGCCACGTGCTCCTGTAACTCCAGCTGTGAGGGGGCCTGGAGACAGGAGGATTGCCAGAGCTTGTAATCCACCAGCCTAGTGCCAGGATCAGTGAGAGACCCTGTCTGAAGGGAATAAGGCCAAGAGTGATAGAGCTGGACGCGTGACATCCTCCACAACATACGCATACCCTCACACACACACACACACACACACACACACACACACACACACACACACACACACACACATGCTAACTTAATCTTTAAAAAATATAAAGTTGATAATGAAAGAAGACATCTGATATAAGTCTCCAACTCTCTCTCTGTCTCTCTCTGTCTCTGTCTCTGTATGTGTGTGTATGTGTGAGATGTGACATTGTATAATTAATGACTTAAAGCCACACAGCTTGCCAATGGCTCTCTAACACCTGCCTACTTCCCTTTCTTTGAATACCATACATTATACCAATAAATGTCAAACCTCTTTGCGTCTTCTGTAATTTACTGTCTAGAAAGCCCCATCCCCTCAGGAGTTCTGTTCTGTCTTCCTTCTCCTCTTGGCTTACACTTGAGAAAGAGTGAGAGACTGACTTTGATTCCCACAATCCTTCATTTCATGACTGATTTCTCCACTCAGACCCGAGTGGTTTGCCCACTGTCTGTTTCGTTACAAGGCAATCCACCTGCCCACCCCAGACAGTAGGTGTGCCCAGAAGCACAGGACTGCAAGAGGCACTGGCAGGAACCTGGGTTAACCTAAAATCCAAGCTTTCTGCACCTTTGAGGGATTGCCACAGGCATCTCAGGGTAGGCTGGAGGATCATGTTGCCTGCCCAGTCAGGCCTCTAAACCTACTGGAAGAGTAAGGCAGTTGGAGGGATGAGGAGACGGCTCATTGGGTGAAATGGTTACTGATCCCCAGCACCAACATAAAAAGTGTAGCTGGAGTTTTCCTGTGTCCCGCCCAGTCCACAGCCACTCAGATCCAAGAAAAAACACAAAGGCTTATATTAATTAAAACTGCTCGGCCATTAGCTCAGGCTAACTACTGACTAGCTCTTACACTTAACTCAGCCCATTTCTGTTAATCTACATATCGCCATGTGTTCCGTGGCTTTACCTGTGTGCCATTACATGCTGCTCCCTGGATGGCAGTCTGGCATCTCCTGACTCAGCCTTCCTCTTCCCAGTATTCTTCTTGTCTGCTTATCCCACCTATACTTCCTGCCTGGCTACTGGTCAATCAGGGTTTTATTAAACCGGTGCACAAAAGCATTATCCCACAGCAAAAAAGTTTGTGTGTGGTGGCATGGAGTGCTGGGAGACAGAGGCAGGAGGATCCCAGCAGCTCACTGGCCATGCCTGTCTAGTTCCAGATTCAGCGAGACACTCTGTCTCGAAAATAAAGGGAGAATGATAGAGGCACTCTGGCTTGCACACTTCATTCATGGCCACTTGCACATACACACCAATAAAGAGGAAGAAGGAAAGACAGAGACAAGTGATAGAGCAAACGGCGAACTTGGCAGATAGGTTCCAGGATGACCACTGGGCTAAAATGGCCACCTGACTCCGGTGACGCGCCCTCACACACTGCTCCTCTGTAGGGTGTGCTAATAGCAAACGTTGTGCATCAAGACAATGTTGGTAGGCATCAGCCACCTTGTTCTTACAAAATACCCCATCCTCTGTAGAAGAGTGTGATGGGATTGGTGGTCACGGATGAGCCCCTGCAGTGAGGTGGGGTGCGGAGACGTCCTCTAAGGGTAAAGTGGCTTTTCAAACCTTATCTGCTTCCTGTCCTTCAGGAGCTGCCTCGTCGCTTCAGACCAAAACATGGGCGTGTGTATGTATGTGTGCGTGCCTGTGTGCATGCAGACCAAAGTGTGCGTGCCTGTGTGCATGCATGCATGATGTCCTAGGCCAAAAGAACCTAACCAAGCTTTACCCTGTTCGCTTACCAATGAAATCACACTCTTAAGTGATCATAAAAAATACACGTTTGAGCCGGGCCGTGATGGCGCACGCCTTTAATCCCAGCACTCGGGAGGCAGAGCCAGGAGGATCTCTGTGAGTTCGAGGCCAGCCTGGGCTACCAAGTGAGTCCCAGGAAAGGCGCAAAGCTACACTGAGAAACCCTGTCTCGAAAAACCAAAAAAAAAAAAATACACGTTTGAATTGGGGATGTGGCTCAGTTGGTATCGTGCTTGCTTAGTGTACATGAGGCTGGGCTCAGTTCTAAGAACCTTGTAAGGCCAGGCATGCTGATACCAGTCTGTAATCGCAATACTGGGAAGGGGAGGTAGGAAGATCAGAAGTTCAAGGTTGTATCTGGCAGCCTGGGCAACAGTGAAACCCTGTCTCAAAAAAAAAAAGAAGAAAAAAAAAAAAGCTGTGTGTGATGGCACACCCCTTTAGTCACAGCACTTGGGAGGCAGAGGCAGGTGGATCTCTGTTAGTTCAAGGTCAGTCTACATAGTGAATTCCAGGATAGCCAGGGCTACACAGAAAAATCCTGACTTAAAAAAAAAAATGTTTAACAGTAGGCAAATGAAAGGGTTTGTGGTTTCTTCTCCTCTTTGCTTATTTTATCTCTGTTTTCTGCAATGAGAACGTATTTGTGAATTAAATCCATATGAAAAGCTAATGAGGGGCTAGTGAGCCGGCTCAGCAGGTAAAGGCACTTGCTGCCAAGGCTGACAATCTGAATTAGATCCCCACGACCCACTTGGTGGAAAGAGAGCCGACTCCAGCCGCTTGTCCTCTGACCTCCACGTGGGTACCATGGCATGCATACACACACAGATAGATAAATGCAACGAACTTCCTTTAAATCAACGAAAAGGCACACACGTTTTTCTCCTCCTAATCTTGGGCCGGTCCCCTGCTCTTTGTCTGCGTTCTCACCAGACCCTCCCAGCCTCTGCTCAGATGAGCTGCCAAAACTCAGCAGTTTTCAATTTTTTGGAAGAGACTTTTGGAAAAGATTTATTTCCTCCTTCTTGAACTTCTAAAAACAGCCCACTTTTTCATCTACCCCTCAGCATGCGATGACAGATGCTACACCTGCCTCTGACGCGACAAAACCTAAGTGAGGAATAAAAGCCTGTCATGATTCTCGCACTTTCTGTGGCAGGCAAAGCTAGGGGTGTGGGGCCACGGGAAGATGCGCTGTGGGGTGTCATCTTGCCTCAGGCATCCTTGTCCTAGCCACGGACACACAGCAAGATCTCATCCGCTGACCTTTGATGTGTTGCTCTGTCCTTTCAGATTTTTGACAATGAAGCCAAAGACCTGGAAAGAGAAGTGTGTTTTATCGATATAGCCTGTGATGAAATTCCGGAACGCTACTACAAAGAATCTGAGGTAAGTGATCAAAGTGGAAGAGTTATGTGTCCATCCATCCATCCATTTGTAGCTAGAATTTTCCTGCCTGGCCCACGGTCAGGACAAATCTCTCTCACCTGCCAGTCCCACAGCCGTTCAGACCCGACCAAGTAAACACAGAGACTTATATTGGTTACAAACTGTATGGCCATGGCAGGCTTCTTGCTAACTGTTCTTACAGCTTAAATTAATCCATTTCCATTAATCTATACCTTGCCACATGGCTCATGGCTTACTGGCATCTTCACATGCTGTTTGTCATCCTGGCGGCTGGCAGTGTCTATCTGACTCAGCCTTCCACTTCCCAGCTTTATTCTCCTCCTTGTCCCGCCTACACTTCCTGCCTAGCCAATGGCCAATCAGTGTTTTATTTATTGACCAATCAGCAACACATTTGCCATACAGACCATCCCACAGCATCCATTCATCCATTCTTTCATTCCACAGTGATTTGTGAAGCACTTTCTACCCTAGGACCCTTCCATCTATCTTTATGTTTACTTGGTTTAGTATTGACATCTCGCTGGATTCTTGAAGGTTGATTTTTTTTTTTTAATTTAATGTGTGTAGATGTTTTCTGTCTACCAAATGCATGCAGTGTCTGCAGGGGCCAAAAGAGGGCATCAGATCCCCCGAAGCTGTAGTTATTGATGGTTGTAAGCTGCCATGGGGGTGCTGGAAATTGAACCCAGATGCTCTGGAAGATCAGCCAGCACTCTTGAGAGCTTGTTTGGAGGTTCTAGCAGGGAAGCGCAGCTACTCGTATACCCTTGACCGAAGACCGGTCCTCCTCTATTCAGGGAAGGTCGTCCTCTTCGACCGAGTGCGCAGCTTCGGGAGGGACGCACATGGAGCGGTGAGGGAGGAAGGGGACACCCGCCTAGCCAGCCAGATCAGCCGAATCAACCCTGGCAATCAATGGGGTGACAGAGGTCGCAGCCAGATCGCCCTCACATCCCAGCCAGCACTCTTAACCACTGAACCATCTCTCCAGCCATCGCTGGGCTATTTAATGCAAGCCTCCAAATGAAGTCCTCGAGCCCGTACTAAACCACCCCCCAACCGCCCTCCCCCACCACTCCCAACTCTGTCACCACCCCACTTGACATCGGGACCCCTGGGGCTAAGCATTCAACACGCTGGCTTTTCTGAACACAGCAGCCTGTCTGTGTGAGGACGCAGACAGCATTTCATTTCTGTCTTTGGAATTTAACATAAAGAAAATCCTCAATCAAGCCTCAAAACTTTGATGGCTCCTGTTGGCCCAGAAACCATCCTCTCAAAATAGCAGGCACCTTCCTGAGGGCTTCTCTTCTTAGCTGAGAACACATGAACCAGAACATCTTCCCCTCTGGCGCGTCCCCTACCAGAATCTGCCCTCTGTCTTGCTGCTCCCCCTTTATGTCGCTGTTGGTGCCAGTCATCATTTATATCCTGTTAGTGTCTTATTAGTGGCTGCTGATGGAACTTGAGTGACCCAGCCCTGGGATGACAACAGACACAGGGCTGTTTTTGTTTACTACATGCAGTCATTCATAGTATGTTAGACACAGGACCCCAGACTTGTCCTTGAACTATAACACATGGATCTTGAAGCTCTTCCCTCGGATTCATTAAGGCTGATTGAAGATGTCGTAAACCCAATGAAAGTAAATTCTGGGATACTGAGATGGTTGTGCAGTTAAAGGTGCTTGCAGCCAAGCCTCGACACCCTGAGTTCAATCCCCGGGACCTGCATGTTGGAAGTACAAACAGACTCCCACAAGTTGTCCTCTGATCTCCATACACACACATAAGTCAGTAAATAAATAAATAAGTACATAAAGAAATGTTTTAAAAAATCTTAAGCATGAGTTCCAGTAGGTTACACACTGGACTGTCTTGTGGTTTAGATCTTTACCTCCCTACTGGGGGACTTGTTTGCCTAGAAAAGCCTTACTTGGTTTTAACAGCTACCAACCTGATTCGCTGCAGGCTGGAGTTCACGGGCTTTGGTCCCTCAAAAGGCTGGGGAAAGGCCAGTTTGAGTCACTGTCACACACATTCATCCAAAGCCTAAGCATATTGGTGTCATCAACTTTACTAGATCTCTAGCCAGCGATACCTGTGTGCTTTAAGGAAAACAAAGTTGGGGCTGGAGAGATGACTCAGCAGTTAAAAGCCCTGATTGCTCTTCCGGAGGACCAGGGTTCTATTCCAGCACCCACATGTGCTGGCTCACCCCCCTCTGTTGTAACTTCAGTTACAGGTCTGACGCCCTCTTCTGGCCTCTACAAGCACTGCATGCGTGTAAAGTATAGCCATGCATGCTGACAAAACACCCAGACACATAAAATAATAAATAAACCTCAAAAAAAAATTAAAGATATGTTTTTGTATGCTTGGGAGGTCGAGGCTGGAGGACTTTGGGGACAGCCTGGACATTATAAATAGACCTTTTCTCAATCACACCAGAAGTGGGAGGCAGAAGGGAAGCAGGAGTAGGGGGTGAATACATGAAATGAAAAGGAAACTTTTGGGGTTTTGTTAGTTTTTTCTTGCATTTTGTGGCATATTGCACATGCCACAGCAAACATGGGGAGGCCAGAGAAAACTTTTTCCTCTGTTTTGTTTTGTTTTGTTTTTTTGAGACAGGGTCTTAGCCCTGGCTTTTATTATAGTTTAGTATGTATATGTACATGATTGTGTGTGTTGAAGGACAGAGGTTGAGATCTGGTATCTTCCTCAATCCCTCTTGTCCTGATTTTATTTTTAAGATTCGTTTCTGTTACATTTTTATTAAAGTGTGTGTGTGTGTGTGTGTGTGTGTGTGTGTGTGTGTGTGTGCCATATGCGTGCAGATGCCTGTGGAGGCCAGAAGAGGGCATCAGATCCCTTAGGGCAGGAGTTGCAGGCAGCTATGAGTCACCTGAAGTGGGTGACAAGCAACAAATGTTCATAACCATTGAGCCATCCTTCCAGCCCCTCTGTTCTTATATCAATTAGAGGGTCCTGAAGAGCAATGCTGTTGTGTTTTCCTTTTAATCAGAGCAGAGAGATGGCTCCATGGGTAAAGTGCTTCCTCTGCAAGCATGGGAAACTGAGTTTGGATCCCCAGAACCCAATAAATGCCAAATGTTCCTGTGGTAGCATATGTCCGTAACCACAATGCAGGGAGAAGAGACAGGCAGATCCCCAAAACTCACTGGCCAGCCAGGAGAGACGATCAGTGAGTACCAAGTGCAGTAAGGTATGGAGTATTCAAGGAAGACACCCAGCGTGGACCGCTGGCCTCCACCTGCACACACACACACACACACACACACACACAAAACCAGTGTGAATTTGGAACATCAGAGAGAGCACCTCTATTAAGCCTCACAGACACAGAGATACAACTGTCTATGGAATTCAGAAAGTTCTTTGTACCGAGTCGCATGCCCAGGTCTGTCCGTGCTAGCAAAGCCGCAAATAGGGTGAAGATGAGCTCTCCACAGTCTGCACTCGCTATGAGGTTGATACATGGCTTCTTGCTTCTGCCAAGATTTCCATCCTGACTCTCTGATGCTCTGCCAAGATTTCAAGGTGAAGATTGCAGTGGAGGAAAAAGAGATTGTGCAGAGGACACAGGCCAAGAGACCCATCCATAAAGCTGAGGTGGCAGTTTCAGGGGTATAAGAACCGAACCTCATTTCCAGCCTGCAGAACTGGTCCACCCCGGGCAGTCTCAAAGTCAAGTTCACAGAGATCTCATATGAGGCAGATAATGTTGACCAATGTTGCATGTGGTTCTCTTGCCTAATCATTTGGCGTGTTGGTTCATAGGCTTGACTTCCGTCATGACTGTGCCCAGAGAAAACAGTACATGTATTGGCTCCTCACTGATGCCCCCGCAGCTCCAACCCTACTTGCAGAAAAGGCCCATCTTTTAAATTTTCAGATATGTGTCCATACAAAGGGGCAGGGGGAGAAAAAAATAAATAAATAGAGTTCCCTAGTCAAGGAAGTGGAGGATGAGCCGGGCATGGTGGTGAACCCTCTAATCCCAGCACTCAAGAGGCAGAGGCAGGTGGATCTCTGTGAGTTCGAGGCCAGCCTGGTCTACAGAATGAGTTCCACGACAGCAAGAGCTACATAGAGGAAACCCTGTCTCAAAAAGAAGAAGGAGAAGAAAAGAAAGAAAGAAAGTGGAGAAGGATGGTGACAATTTTGTTGTTTTGTTTGCTTGTTTGGGTTTTTATGGTTTTGTTTTATTTTGAGATTTATTTTATTTTATGTGTATGAGTGTTTTGCCTGCATGTATGTATGTGGTCACATATGTGCAGTGCCGGGGGGGGGGGGCGGCTGGAAGAGAGCATTGGATCCTTTAGAATTGGAGTTACAGAGAGTTGTGAGCTTCCATATGGGTGCTGGGAACTAAACCCAGGTCCTCTGCGAGAGCATCAGGTACTCTTGATTGCTGAACATCTCTTCAACTCTCTGCTACCTTTTGAGCTTGACTTTCTTGTTACAGATGAAGGAAATTTCTCTCCCTGTCATCTTAGAGAATGTGAAAGTGTTCGTCTTACTGGTGATAGAGTTTAGTCCTTTTAGTGGGCAAATTTAGATTTTGAACTTGAATAACGATGAAGAGTTACACAGGGCTCAGTCATTAAGAGCATTTGCTGTTCTCATAGAAGACCCAAATCCAGTTCCCAACACCCACATCGGACAGCTCACAATTGCCTTTAACTCCAGCTCCTGGGAATCTGATGCCCCCTTCTGTCTTCCACAGGCACCTGCATGCATGTGCATACACACATACACACACTTCTAGACACACACATGCACACACACATAAGTAAATAAATACAAAGAAGGAAAAAAGAGTCACATAAGGCTGTTCTAGCAAGATGGCCCCTCATGTGGTACAGTGGAACATGTGACAGGGAAGAGAGCTCTTCAGACGGTATTTGATTTAGGCCTTTCTCCTTGGACTGAGGGAATTCTTAGAACTCAGT